GAGACTGTATTTTACAGGTAGAAAATGGACATAATACAATGTTTTCCCCCGAATAACTCGAAAAGTAAGTAATTTAGGGTACATGTTGCTTCATAAGTTGTATATAAACATGGCCATTCTGCACAATCTGCACGCATTCAAAAACCTTTAGGGCCTTCATAGCCCAATTTACCAGATACCCATAGTTTTGCATGATTTCTGGAACCGAAAATCAGTTTTTCGCCAATAACTGAAAAAGTAAGCACTTTAAGGCATATGTTTGTTCGTAAGTCATATATTAATATGCTAATTGCGGTTCTTTTGCACCCTGTCTAAATACTCTATCACGATCCTATCGAAAATGGGCTCAGCACCACGCCCAAAATGGTTTTTGACGAATTTCTCGAAAAGTAAGGATTTTAGGCCATGTGTTGCTCAATAACTCCTATATAAACATGCATATGCGGCTTCGTTTAAGCCTATTTTAAAGTCTCTACGACCTTCAGAAGCAAGGGGTCGGTTACACTTACTTTATTGGGTCAATATGGGCGTGGCCCTCCTGGGTTTTCTCCACGGTCAAAAAAATGTCTCCAAACGAAAATCGTTTATTCATACCTTCGGGAAGGTCTGTGCAAAGTTTCGTGAGTATTTGAACATTTGCAGGTTCATTTCCATAAATGTCCATAAATGACTGGACTACACAACTTTAGAGTTAACTTTAGAGAAACTCATAACAATAAGTCATTTATCTCAAATCAAGCTGTTAGTGTCCATGATCAACCTGTGGCGACAATGTTTTACGTGAAATGTAAAAATCAGGAGTAATATAAAAAGTGTATTTTTAGATTAAAGTGCTAGCTCATAGTTTTAGACTTGTATAGATTAACGTTGGTCGTTTAGCCATCTAACAATCGATCGTGCCGTAATATATGGCCAGAGAATAATAGGGTCTTGGAAATTCTATACCTAGTTGTTCAATGGGTCGATTGACTGAACACGTTTGCACTTGGTATTTAAACTTACCAGTAGTTTATTTATGTTATGTACCGATGATAATCCAATTAGGATAACAACTAGGTAAGCCGTAAGTCTAATTCAAAACACACCGCACACCGTACACTCCAATCAGTTTTACTATTTGGTAGACCCGAGACCGGGTATTTTGGCGGGAATTCTGTTCCCACGGCACTGTTCTGATAGAAGCTACTTCTACTAATGGTCCCAGAGAAACGGCCGTAAAGTAGCCAGACTTCTTGTCGCCTGTACTGGCTGACACATGCGGACTAAAGTTATAAATTTCGCTATGCTATAAATATAATTGCTCTCGGAATTGAACAAACTCCTACTTATCTAGATCCTTTCTAAACTCGTTAGAGTTTCATGGACTGGGGAGAAAAATAATCGGTACAGTCTCCCTAGCTGCTTGTGTAATTAAGCAATGAAAACAATCCAAAATTATCACATATGACATAAGTTGTAATAGCAGAAACTTTCTAACCGTACATTCACCCGCCACTGTTCAAGAACCTATATCACTGTTTTAAATCATGACGTGAGCACTGTACATCCAATCAGCTATTCCTTTAGTTAGAATGATAGCCAAAACTATAAGGATTTTGGAGAACTAGGGTAATAGTCATAATTCTAAAATTTGAGTGAGTTACACGTGTTTTATTGACGATGATAAACATTTGTAATGTAAATTACGCTATGCAAGCGCGCACTGAGGGACTTTATGACGTCACGAGGCCACAGCTTATTATTGCAATAACACGCGTTACACGTACGCTAGAGAGTTGGTTCTTTCGGCGATACGATTCTTTACCGGTTTGTCACAGCTGATTTAAATCTTAGCCAAATTGGAGACTACAAATTTTTCAGTTAACTGGTCCTTTAACAATAGATTTAGCAACTCCCTGACGAGTATTACATATTATTATACAACATTATAACATTAACAATAGATTTAGCAACTCCCTGAAGAGTATTACATAATATTAAACAACATTATAACATTAACAATAGATTTAGCAACTCCCTGACGAGTATAACATAATATTATACATAATGTTACATATTATACAACATTATAACATTAACAATAGATTTAGCAACTCCCTGACGAGTATTACATAATATTATACATAATGTTACATATTATACAACATTATAACATTAACAATAGATTTAGCAACTCCCTGACGAGTATTACATATTATTATACATAATGTTACATATTATACAACATTATAACATTAACAATAGATTTAGCAACTCCCTGACGAGTATTACATATTATTACACATAATGTTACATATTATACAACATTAACAATAGATTTAGCAACTCCCTGACGAGTATTACATAATATTATACATAATGTTACATATTATACAACATTATAACATTAACAATAGATTTAGCAACTCCCTGACGAGTATTACATAATATTACACATAATGTTACATATTATACAACATTATAACATTAACAATAGATTTAGCAACTCCCTGACGAGTATTACATATTATTACACATAATGTTACATATTATACAACATTATAACATTAACAATAGATTTAGCAACTCCCTGACGAGTATTACATAATATTATACAACATTATAACATTAACAATAGATTTAGTAACTCCCTGACGAGTATTACATATTATTACACATAATGTTACATATTATACAACATTATAACATTAACAATAGATTTAGTAACTCCCTGACGAGTATTACATATTATTACACATAATGTTACATATTATACAACATTATAACATTAACAATAGATTTAGTAACTCCCTGACGAGTATTACATATTATTACACATAATGTTACATATTATACAACATTATAACATTAACAATAGATTTAGCAACTCCCTGACGAGTATTACATAATATTATACATAATGTTACATATTATACAACATTATAACATTAACAATAGATTTAGCAACTCCCTGACGAGTATTACATAATATTACACATAATGTTACATATTATACAACATTATAACATTAACAATAGATTTAGCAACTCCCTGACGAGTATTACATATTACACATAATGTTACATATTATACAACATTATAACATTAACAATAGATTTAGCAACTCCCTGACGAGTATTACATATTACACATAATGTTACATATTATACAACATTATAACATTAACAATAGATTTAGCAACTCCCTGACGAGTATTACATAATATTATACAACATTATAACATTAACAATAGATTTAGCAACTCCCTGACGAGTATTACATAATATTATACAGCATTATAACATTAACAATAGATTTAGCAACTCCCTGACGAGTATTACATAATATTATACAACATTATAACATTAACAATAGATTTAGCAACTCCCTGACGAGTATTACATAATATTATACAACATTATAACATTAACAATAGATTTAGCAACTCCCTGACGAGTATTACATATTATTACACATAATGTTACATATTATACAACATTATAACATTAACAATAGATTTAGCAACTCCCTGACGAGTATTACATAATATTATACAACATTATAACATTAACAATAGATTTAGTAACTCCCTGACGAGTATTACATATTATTACACATAATGTTACATATTATACAACATTATAACATTAACAATAGATTTAGTAACTCCCTGACGAGTATTACATATTATTACACATAATGTTACATATTATACAACATTATAACATTAACAATAGATTTAGTAACTCCCTGACGAGTATTACATATTATTACACATAATGTTACATATTATACAACATTATAACATTAACAATAGATTTAGCAACTCCCTGACGAGTATTACATAATATTATACATAATGTTACATATTATACAACATTATAACATTAACAATAGATTTAGCAACTCCCTGACGAGTATTACATAATATTACACATAATGTTACATATTATACAACATTATAACATTAACAATAGATTTAGCAACTCCCTGACGAGTATTACATATTACACATAATGTTACATATTATACAACATTATAACATTAACAATAGATTTAGCAACTCCCTGACGAGTATTACATATTACACATAATGTTACATATTATACAACATTATAACATTAACAATAGATTTAGCAACTCCCTGACGAGTATTACATAATATTATACAACATTATAACATTAACAATAGATTTAGCAACTCCCTGACGAGTATTACATAATATTATACAGCATTATAACATTAACAATAGATTTAGCAACTCCCTGACGAGTATTACATAATATTATACAACATTATAACATTAACAATAGATTTAGCAACTCCCTGACGAGTATTACATAATATTATACAACATTATAACATTAACAATAGATTTAGCAACTCCCTGACGAGTATTACATATTACACATAATGTTACATATTATACAACATTATAATATTAACAATAGATTTAGCAACTCCCTGACGAGTATTACATAATATTATACAACATTATAACATTAACAATAGATTTAGCAACTCCCTGAAGAGTATTACATATTATTACACATAATGTTACATATTATACAACATTATAACATTAACAATAGATTTAGCAACTCCCTGACGAGTATTACATAATATTATACAACATTATAACATTAACAATAGATTTAGCAACTCCCTGACGAGTATTACATAATATTATACAACAATATCACATTAACAATAGATTTAACAACAAAGTTCTCAATACTGATAGCATTAAGTATTATATTAATACTTTCAACACTACTATATAACAAATAATTTGAGCCTGAAGATGGTGTTGACGCCGAAAATTTGTCTACATTCCTAACTTCCTGTGTCATTTTTCCTTGTCTCTTCCAACCGGATATTATCCAGCTATCAGTATTTCAATCATGAGACTAATAAACAGCGAACTACTCCATCAATTGAAAAGTTGTCAATGTCCTTGAAAGTCAGTGCAGACACTGTCTTAAGAGAAAGTGTTATTATATGAGAATTAATAGTTCACCTGGAATTCGTGTGGTTTGAGTTTACCCTCCGCTGCTTTGCTCTTTAGCTCGCTCATGTCACTGTTTATCTGTTTAAGACCCTTGTTGTTCGCAGTGTATACTATGGGTGTTATGAGGCCATTATCTGTTGCTACTGCCACAGAGATATCTGCATTGTGGAACCTGAAATATACATTTTTATCATATACACCATTTATAGCCGTTCTATAGAATTTTTTCATTATTACAAAAAAAATTTTGTTAATACGTTATACTCTTGTTCATTTTTACACATTTGCTCACATCACTCACAGTCAGCCGCTCTGACATGGTTAACCACCTTCCTTGTGTTGTTGGTTAATCATATGAGCGGGATATAAATACCTCATTTCATTTCATTTCATTTCATTTCATTTCATTTCATTTCATAAATTGTTTGTCGTTGCCTTTGAAATGATTTGACAACTTTACAACTCATTAATAAATATAGAAAGAATAATTTAATTATCTCGTGAATATTTTCCACGTGGAAAAAGTATGTACATCTAAGTGCGTGAACACTCAATAAACATTTTCTTGAAATAAAACTGTACTAAAAGTATGTTGAATTTGGCTTCGAAAGTGCAAGGAAATTAAAATGTTGCTCAATTTTAATAGATGTAACCACTTTGTTTTCTGACGTTACAAAAGATGAGCCGACGTTTTTGCAGAGAATAAAAAAGAAATAAAGATCATCTGACAAACACCAAGAAGAAGGAAATAAAATGCTAAAACATTTCATTATCTGCACATTAAAATTCAGTTTGTTTTATTGACCCTCTCCTCGTTGTCTTAGGTGATCTATAAGACCTATTTAAGCTAAGACGATCATAGTTGTTAAGAGAGGATTGTGGAGAACGGGTTTCTCCCTGTTTACTGGGATAACGTCCATACTCCACTGATAGCTGAGGTGAGCGCGCACTTCCATTCGCGTAAACACTAGGACGCCGTGTGCTGAGCGGGTAATCTACCGAGAGTTGAGGGTAATTATAGTTACCGGCACCTACCGATAGTTGTGGGGACCTACTGCCTCCAAGACGAGGGAAGTCAACAGAGGGCGAGCACCTACTGAGAGCGAAACGGTCAAAATCCGCACTGGATCTAGCTGGCTTAGTCAGTATAGTCCTTATACTCCCCGGGTTCTGAGATAAGAAGTTCAGCCAGGATCGGTAATGAGGCATGCGTAGCAGGTAGAGACATGGGTTAAGTGCTGCATTAAGCAGAGTCAGTATATTGGAGATAAGGCCACTGTACCATCTGAAGGTAGAGTTGTTGTAGACGGACATGTGGAACTGGAGCGAGTACACCTCGCACAGGAACACTAGCTGTGTCAGAAAGTAGGGCAGGTTGCAAAGTAGAAACACCCCAGTGAACATTGCTATGGTTACGGAAATGCGCCTGTTTTGTATCTCCTCCTCTCCCGGAATCGGGTCGTGATATTTTGATTTGCGGAGAAGAGCACACGTAAACACTATGAAAGAGAGTAATACGATGAAGCCAGGTAAGAAGAGTTCCATCTGCACTGATATCGCGTACAAGTTGAATGTGGAGCGTGGTACACCGAGCGGCACTTGGTAGCCGCAGAAAGCAAGCCACTTGCGATACACAGGCTTCAGCCACCCTTTACCCAGGTATACAGTGTCAATAGTCACTAGCACTGCACTGTATATCAATATAGCTGGCATGATCAATGCATTCCGTATCTTGTAGTACGGCGATGCGATGGCAAGCGTGCGCGTAAAACTCAGCAGCATGACTAGGAACATGGAAATCTTCTGAGTGAAGGTCATAACAATAAGAGTAGCCTTACAGATGTAGCTAGAGCCCTTCATAAAAGTAGGATCCCGACCATTAAGAAGACTGGAGATGATGGGGAATACAGAGAAGCTAGTAGCTATATCCACTACACTGATAACAGTATACAGGAGTGGGGCCAGACACTTGTTCTTCTTCTGCCAGAAGTAGAGGAACGCGGAGATGTTGCCCACAGAGGCAACTACACTGAACAAGATAACCAACACAGCGAGTACCAGGTCAGCTATTTCGTTGTGAGTACCAAAGTTAATTAGAGGAACAGTGGAAGGGAAGTAGGTGTAGGTGTAATAGTAGGTGGGGTCTACATCAGGGTTACCTGGTGACTCTGTGGTGTTGTTTGACATGGTCTGAGAAGCGTGCAGTGAGGGGGGATTATTAAATAGTTATCTGTCGAGCCGAATTTTGAGATAGGCCTTAGAAGATTTTTTATTCAATTTTGAAAATCTTGGACCTGGAAAAATCGTAAAAAAATGAGGTCCAAGATTTTCAAAATTGAATAAAAAATCTTCTAAGGCCTATCTCAAAATTCGGCTCGACAGATATCTTCTAAATGATCTATAGAACATATCCTAAAAGTTTCAGGGTGATTGCTCAAAAAATGTAAGAGAAGATAGATTTTTAGACTCGATTTTCAGGGCGCGCGATTGAAAATCGCTCGCGCAATACAATTACACATAAGCGCTGACCTTTGACTGGCGATCATTTTGGCTAGGAACAATATTTTTCCATGGGACCAAAAGCAGCTGATAGATATCACTCCCCTCTATCAGAAACAACTATAAAATCAATTTCGAGAGAATTTTGATGAAGACCCCCCCCGGCCCCCTTAAACCTAGCTAATCATGAACATCAAGTCACAAACAACTAGAAGCTTTGTTGAGGAATTCCAGATTCCTTGATACCAAGTTATTAACCTAAAAATAAGAAATAACTGCTAAATTGCGAAAGAAAAGAAAAGTAAATATTTGGAACTGATGGAGAGACTAGCTGTTCCATTGCAGACTGGCTAGACTAAGTTATATTTTGTAGTTATGTATACAATGATTTTATATCCGTGAATTATATTTGCTAAATGAAAAAGGAATAATATGTTAACATTCCTACTGCTGGGTATCAGTATGTTACATAGCACAAAATACATTTTACTTGTAGAGATACTGAAAGGGAAACATTGTAAATGTTAAAGGTATGATATGACGGCTTCAAGTTAAGGAGGAGTCCCAGTTTCAAAAGATAAGCAAGATAGTGACACTTGATTATAGAGGTATACATGTAATTATAGAGAATGGTACCATTTCCAGCAGCTGAAAACCAATGATCGGAAAGTTCAATATGGTCTAACCACACGCACACGGTAATTAGTTTATCTTCAAAATAAGAATCCACTACGAAAATCTAAAAGATGGATTATTAGCCCAAGAATCGTACACAAACAGCCAAAGGTGACAATTATATCTTAGCGGCAACGTAAACTACATATATTTAGATATAACTACATATATTTAGATATTCCTCAGCTCAAAGGTACTTAATATAGCCAGTTGTTGACATATGTCAATATCATACTAGATCCACAAAGCATTTTTTGGTTAATTGTCCATCACGGCCATTAAGATATATGAGATAATTTCGGGAGGAAATTGTGAACAAATTGCTTGGTAACAAAACTGAATAAAACTAGAATAACTCCACACAACATAGGATAAAATTTGTACGTTTATATAAAGGATACAAGATACAACTATTTATAACGGCATACATATGTTCAGAATTATTGAGAATGCTTGGTGCCATCTCATTTTAGTGGTTTCTACTGGAATGATGTTAAGACAATTGATGTCGTAACTAACAGAGAACACAAAATACCAGCTCAGAGCTCACGTACCCCAGTCAAGTTAACTGCCAGGATTACAAAACCATAATACAAATTAGGCAAATCATATTAAATAATGATTAAAATTATGGTTAAGATTGTTTAATATAAAATATCAATAAGAAATAGTATGCCGTTCATCTTACTACCTATTATTTAACAACCTAGTAACTACACGTGTTACCTAGTAACTACACGTGTTACCTAGTAACTACACGTGTTACCTAGTAACTACACGTGTTACCTAGTAATTACACGTGTTACCTAGTAACTACACGTGTTACCTAGTAACTACACGTGTTACCTAGTAACTACACGTGTTACCTAATAACTAAACGTGTCATGCTATATTGGGGGCCTCTAATATATTGAATATAAGAATAAAGTACATTTAGAAAAAGGATCTGCACTAAAATAAAAAGATAAGATAACACTATCTACCCGAGGGCCCCAATAGATAATATTAGCTATCCCTGTCGACGTAGCTTTCCCGGAGGTAGATAACTCCAACCCAATCAACAAAGGTCAGATAGGTGGTAACTAACCAACAAGGGTCAGTTACCATGGTAACTAACCAACAAGGGTCAGATAGCGATAGGTGGTAACTACCCAACAAGGGTCAGTTACCATGGTAACTAACCAACAAGGGTCAGTTACCATGGTAACTAACCAACAAGGGTCAGTTAGGTGGTAACTAACCAACAAGGGTCAGATAGGTGGTAACTAACCAACAAGGGTCAGTTACCATGGTAACTAACCAACAAGGGTCAGATAGGTGGTAACTAACCAACAAGGGTCAGTTACCATGGTAACTAACCAACAAGGGTCAGATAGGTGGTAACTAACCAACAAGGGTCAGTTACCATGGTAACTAACCAACAAGGGTCAGTTACCATGGTAACTAACCAACAAGGGTCAGATAGGTGGTAACTAACCAACAAGGGTCAGTTTCCATGGTAACTAACCAACAAGGGTCAGATAGGTGGTAACTAACCAACAAGGGTCAGTTACCATGGTAACTAACCAACAAGGGTCAGTTGCTATGGTAACTAACCAACAAGGGTCAGATAGGTGGTAACTAACCAACAAGGGTCAGTTGCCATGGTAACTAACCAACAAGGGTCAGATAGGTGGTAACTAACCAACAAGGGTCAGATAGGTGGTAACTAACCAACAAGGGTCAGTTGCCATGGTAACTAACCAACAAGGGTCAGTTGCCATGGTAACTAACCAACAAGGGTCAGATAGGTGGTAACTAACCAACAAGGGTCAGTTACCATGGTAACTAACCAACAAGGGTCAGTTTCCATGGTAACTAACCAACAAGGGTCAGATAGGTGGTAACTAACCAACAAGGGTCAGTTGCCATGGTAACTAACCAACAAGGGTCAGATAGGTGGTAACTAACCAACAAGGGCCAGTTTCCATGGTAACTAACCACCCATATCCAAAAACCCGCATTCTCGCATTCTAAGAATGTAGGAAATTTTTAAAAGTAGGAAATTTTTGACAAAAAGTAGGAAATTCGAGAGCCAACTCTGAGAATTTTCGATAATATTTCAGTAGGAATTTAAGTGAAAGAGCAGACTAAAAGTTGCTGGACCGTTATTTAAATGTCCTCAGTCAGGGATCCACTGATCCAGTCTATCAAATTTCGTTTCACAGACCAAAGTTTGTTGCTATTAGCTACAAAATCTGTGCATCAAGTAACCACTAACCAGATGCTAATTATTGGGGCATTTTCGCGTACACGACATAAATAGTTGTCATTATTACTTTATTAACATTTTACTATCTACTTATCTAGTCTATGAAACGGGCTTGAAAGCAGAAAGTGATGGTAGTAGATGAGAAAACATTTTTGCCAAAATTATAAACTCTTGATACTTCATGCTGTCTCCTATTTCGTGCTTTAGTTAAGCCAAGTGTTTAGGGATTCTAGAATCCAGACAATTTATCCCAATAAAAATTGAAATCAGAAAATAGTATGCTAAAATCGTTCTCCATTGTCAGATTCGTTCCAGGAGGCCAAATCTAGTTTAAATTTCCAAAATTTTCGGGGGCTTCGCCCCCAAAAGTAACCTAGGATTATCTATTAAAAAGCATTCCGGGCACGTAGACAGGGGGGGGGGGGGGGGGGGGGGGGGGGCTAGGGGGGCGGCAGCCCCCCCGGAAAAAATCGAACCCCAGAAAAAAGATAAGCCCCCTAGTCCCCATGGTCGCCTGGTAACTGGGCTGTGTTTATGACTGCAGTCAGTCAAAGATTTGAACTGTGGATTAGTAAATATCTGTCATTAAATCCAAGCAAACATTCTAGAAGACTTCTATAAATAGTCAATAGTGTCCCCTAGACCGTAGGAAATGTAAAAATCTTAAGACGATGAGGCCTGAGTAAGTCGTAAATTCTGATTGGAGAATGCAGATTGCTGTTGTGAAGTTACCAAATTTACGTGAGTACTTGATTCTTTTCAATCCCAGTTCATTGCTGTCCTACAAATTTCTTTAATGCCAAATGTCGTCTAAAACACCCAGTTTCGCAAAAATTTTCCGGGGGGCTGCGCCCCCCTAGCCCCCGCCAAGGGGCTCCGCCCCTGGACCCCGATGGGGGCTGCGCCCCCAGACCCCTGCCACAGCTTGCTCGCTTCGCTCACTGCGCAGCTGGATTGGACGCGTCGGCTCGCTTCGCTCGCCAACAGCCCCCCTCAAAGAAAAATCCTGGCTACGTCCCTGTTCCGGGCCCTAAAAAAGTAAAATCGAGAATCTGGAATCCGCCATGAAAAACCTTTGAACCGCGCGAATACAAAGACTTTTTAAGCGAGCGAAGCGAGCGGGCCACAGAAAACGAAAAAATTGAGAATGTAGGAAATTAAAATTTTTTTGGATATGGGACTAACCAACAAGGGTCAGATAGGTGGTAACTAACCAACAAGGGTCAGTTGCCATGGTAACCTGGAGGTTCCAGTGTAATACACAAGATGTGCTAACTAACTTAAGTTATAATAATTGTGATAATATCTGTAAACTGATTTCACAGAAGTTCGCTCAGAGGGTTCACTTACCATCGCTATTATCACTAGTTACTAACCATGTCATTCAGACTAATTCAACCAAAAAGAGATTTAATCAAAGATCTAGGCCATGGAAAGCCCTAACAGTTAAAGTTCTTCTACAAGTAAATAAATAAAAACAGCCCAGTATTATTTTCAGTAACACGTGAATACGAATATAATAGTAACACAAGTCATAAAAATAAGCTACGAAATAAAAAAACCGTCGTACGCAATAGCCGTCATGTCAGTGGAAATCGTACTTCCAATGTTTTTACTTTTTTACAAAGTGCACTGAACAAAGCTCAACAAAATGATGCCTGGTCTGCAAAACTAACCGAGGAATTGATCACATTTCATTCTAGACAGCAAAACCTCTTACTATACTAGAAGTAAGAATACGCAGTTTAAGAACTTTTAAAAAAAGTTTACGATCTACCTATTAATGCTTTTCAAACAAAGTTACAACGAATTATTCATTTAGTGCATCCTGGGTTTGGACAGGATATGCCCGTTTAAAATATTTCCATCACGTTACATTACATAATTCTCAATAAATGTAATAGATTTGTAGTGTTGTAAATAGTTTAAAACCTATGTGACCTATGATCGGTAATTAAATATCCAATCTCTAGAATATCTCGATTGTCCACTAGGAATGTGATGCTTCACAAAGCTTAAAAGAGACGACTAAATTGAATAAACGTGATACTCTAATAAAGACGCGCTGCACGCTCAAATACTCTAATAAAAGACATACTCGATACTACTGTTACCTTGGTACATACTACTGTTACAGTGGGTTATTTATAGCCAGCTTAACAAGTAGTTAGTAAACCCTGTTTTAGACCAGGGGTTGTACAATACCCACTATAATTTAATTATTGATTATACTAAATATAATGCTAGATACGTGGTGGATGTTGTGAAATACCTTCAAATATCTCCCGACCCGCAAACCAAAAATTAGAACTGAGCAGTGCTGAGTTAATGTGATTAACCATGAGATAACTGGAAGTTAACTAGTAGATGATAATCAGCGATTATCTGTACTATCTGTACTATCGTTGTCATGATTATCATGAAGTGCAGCATTCAATGGTAGAGTGATGTAAACGTGTTCCAGAAAAGAGTACACCCAGTAAATACACAATGATCAGTATTTATTCAGGGATTGAATATTGCACGTGCTAAAAGTAAATACATAATAATCAGTATTTATTCAGGGATTGAATATTGCACGTGCTAAAAGTAAACACATAATAATCAGTAATTATTCAGGGATTGAATATTGCACGTGCTAAAAGTAAATACATAATAATCAGTAATTCTTCAGGGATTGAATATTGCACGTGCTAAAAATAAATACATAATAATTAGTAATTATTCAGGGATTGAATATTGCACGTGCTAAAAGTATCTGCTGCTTATGAGACCATAAGCAGCTGATAGATATCACTCCCCTTTATTAGAAGCAACTATAAAATCAATTGCGCGAGAATTTTGATGAAGACCCCCGGCCCCCTTAAGTAGTCGGAGGGACTGAGGGAGGGGCATTACAAGACGCCCTCTATTCAATGATCTTCAATACACTGGGTATTAGATCGTCCGGGCAAAAGTTTATCAGGCTTAGCAAATCGAACGTATACTGTAAAGTGTAAGACTTAGAAAATCATTGTAAGGAACTCGATACAAAATGAAACTGAAGTGGGTAATAATGGGGATGGGAGGAGAGCCGGGGGAATCATTAGTTCTGCTGATGCCAGAAATCATTGTATGTAAGATGTATTATATATATAAATAGACTCTAAACGTATAAATAATTACAATACCAGGAGGCAAGGTATAGTCGTATTTAGCTAAGTAGATATTGTATATCATTATATTGAGATAGCACAGTCCGGCTAACCAGGCACTTATCATGTTAGACACTGCCCAAAATAGAACTATAGAACAGCGCAAATAATACAACTTATCATGTTAGACACTGCCCAAAATAGAACTATAGAACAGTCGCAAATAATAAAACTTCAGATACAAACTGTGTAAGGGTTATGATATGAGAGACAATATACCTCGGTAAATTATGATATTACGTCTGAGCTAAGGTTTGGGTCATAAAGAAGGCCCTGGTATTTATGAAGGAGTAACAAAGAGAAGTATATTCTACAGAACATGTTTTTGTGTGTCTCTTAGATATTCGTTATTCCGTATTCTTTTTATTGTCATATATTTCTTTACTCCTCTATAAACGTTTAAACGTTTCATTAACAATTAACAATATTTATTATTTATTACTATTATAGGAGGGCATCATCGTGCACACAAAAATTGTTTTCTTCTTTGTCTAAAAGCTAAAAGTAAGCCTCGCCGGTTCCAAATCCAAACATTTAAGAACGAATATAGCAAAGAAAAGCATACAGAGATATCGCACAACTTCATGGCAATGCGCAGAGAAATCACTCACGGTGTAGTGCAATAAACGATTGTTTTGCAGAGTAAATCCAATCTTGAGGCCACTAAGTTTGATTACTAATTAATTATAAAAGTGTGTTTTTAATACGAACAGTGCAGTGCGAGTCAAAACAAAGTGATTGATTAAGAGGGAGTTGGGACCTTGTAATTTTGACAATTTTAAATATAAAGATTTTGAACGACAACACGAAACCTTTTCGTAACTGTTATTATTCTAATCGCTTTTCATGACGTTCATTAATTAAGTTTCGAGAAAATTAAACCTAACCATATTTATCGGAATAAGGAGTGAAAGTTGTGGTAGAAAATTACTAAATCCGATTTAATTAACTAATAAGTAGATTACGGTGGAAGTATGATATTAAGGTATAAAATAACATAGTTATATAAATATGAAACTCACTGTTTAATGCAAGTATCTGCCCACTGACTGTTAGCAGCTGGAACATCTAACAAAGCTTTAGAACTAGCTTTAATGAGGAAGTCAGTGACAGAGAGTTTGAAGTTGCCAGCCCCCTCCTTGTTGAGCTGTGAGCGGACTGAGAGGAGATCATCTAGCACTACCTCTATAGTAAGATAATAGTGTGGGATCTCCTGGGTGAGGAAGCACTATTAGCGTCAGCTTAACATTAAGAATAAAGATACCAGGAATTATTTTAGTTCTAGTGCTCAACTTCACACGTGAGGAATTAATAGAGAGCTGAAACATGTTATAAAATAGGAGGAACTTCGTTGAACTGTTATAAAGACAAATTATCTTAGCTGTCACCTGTTTGGACGAAGTAAGCCGCTTAGCAATAGCTTTCCTCATGTTGGTGAGAGGAATCTCAGTGAAGGAGCCGTCTGGAGAAACTACAAGAGGAGCAGCGGCTACTGGAGCAGCGGCTACTGGGGCGGCAGATACTGGAGCAGTGGCTACTGGGGTCGCTTCAACGTCTACTGCTCGTATAACACCATCAGCACCCGACCCAACAACTTGCTGGAAGAAAGAGTTTGACTACTACTGCTAGTGTGAGTTGTGACTACAATCATAATAAACGGAAATTTCCTTTCCTGCGCTTGAAAGAAAATCAAAATTAGAGAAATATTATGATACTGTTCATCGAGAATATTCTTGTAAACAAAAAGGCAAAGCAGATTCCATTTATGTCAACCTCATTACATCACTGAAGAGATGTAATTTAGACTATAGGTAACTTCGCGAGATCCCACTTACCGACAGATCAATACCCTTTCTTGCAGCTAAAGCCTTTGCCATGGGACTAGCCATGATCCTACTGCCCAGTACAGGTGGTTGAGCGGCCACTGCAGCTGGAGGGGGAGGAGCGGCCACTGCAGCTGGAGGGGGAGGAGCGGCCACTGCAGCTGGAGGGGGAGGAGGAGGGGGAGTAGCAGGGACAGGGGTAGGAGCTGGAGGGGGTGGGGCAGCTACTGGCTCTGGTACTGGTTCTGGTGCAGCTTCTGCGGGGGCAGCGTCACCAGCAGGAGCTTCGTAGTTCGCAAACTTAGCGATGTCGTCTTTATCTTCGACAATGATACAAACCGGCTGAAAGGGAAAACAGTTCTTCATAAAGAGCATATAATAAACTAAACAGGTTACTGTAAAGGGTACAGAGCTCAGATAATCGAACTACTTCATTTCTTATCATTCCAGACCAATTCATCTGCTAAAACGGGTGTCTTATCGTATAACATAATACAGCAGTAGTTGACTGGATTTGATTCGACCTATTGCGAGAACGTCGGACGAAGATTCATTTACAATTGGGCGGTTATAATCTCTCAGATGTTAGATTTAAATTAAAAACAGGTTTACTTTTAAAAGGAAGTGAAATTTGGAAATTATCAATATATAGAAATTTATACATATCATGTTATCAGATATAATAGGATATAATACTAGAAGTATAGTAGTAATAGTAACCATGGCAACAGTAACCATGGTAACGAACAGGAGACTCACCACTCCAAGTTTAACATCAGGAGTACCAGCCGGAATAAGTATTTTAGCCAAGAATCCAACTTCAGGAGCCTCAAAGTCCATTGTAGCCTTGTCAGTCTCTATCTGAGCTAGCAGATCACCTTCTCCCAACTCATCTCCCTCTGATACGGACCAGGACAGGATTGTACCTGAGAGGGAGGTTTATTAATGTGCAGAATTCTGTTTAGAATATAATAAGGGGCTGATAGTAATTAAGTACAAGAGATTTGTTTTAAAACACCTCCGCCTGAAGGAGCGTGAATTTTGCAATCTAAGGCAGTGAGGTGGAGTTTCAATTGTTATGGACAATTTTTTAAATTTTATTCTTGGCACTTCCAATTTTTCAAATTGAGGAGCTAAAGTTTGCACGAACCTGCCTCCATAGTGGGTGAGAGGGCAGGCATGTCTATCATAAAGTGGGGAGGGTAGTTGCTCATCATCCTCACATGTTGTATCGTCAGTTGAGGAACACTCAGTACCCTGTAGTAGAGGAGGACACATTAAGTAGAGGAGGTTTAGTGGGAGAGTGGAGCACTCTGATAAAGGTTATTATAAAGGAGCACTCTAGTCGTGGAACTAATAAGAGAAGGACCTCATACCATTCACAAACTGTATTTCGGACTTTTAAGTCAAATTACTGGTGACATAGAGCAATGGGCATCTAATTTCGAAAATTCTTATAATTACATAATTCCTGGTACGTATCATTAAAATTTGAGCTGTGAGACGTAATTGTAATCGATTGCTCCAAAACATGTTAATATACTTACAATCAATTGATTAGATATTCGAAAAGAAAACACAGTATATTTTACTACCCTGCTTCTATGTGGCAAAGATATTGTATAAAAAAGCTAAATAAAGATATTGAAATTATTGGAATATAATAAATCTATTACTATTAATTAACTAATTAAGATGTGGTGTAATTACTAATTAGTAATTGATTAACTAGTTAAGTTGTGATGTAATTATTAATTAGTAATTAATTAACTAATCAAGATGTGGTCATGGTGTAATTACTAATTAGTAATAAGTTAACTAATTAAGTTGTGGTGTAATTACTAATTACTAATTAATTAACTAATTAAGATGTGGTGTATCTAAGATACCTGGAGTTAGGCAGAGATCGAACTAGCAGGTTAGAGAGTGATCTGACTGCTACACAATGTGACTTGGTTACACGTGGCACAGTTCGTACCAACGTCCGGGACACGTGCCTCAACATCCTTCCTAAACACGTGCAAGGGATTTTAAACACGTGACATTTCAAGTAATACCTTGGACACGTGATAATAAAATATAAAAGAATGCAAGGTATCCAGATGAAATTCGCCCCGATGTTTCTTGACGATTCTAAACTTCACAAGATGATTAATCAATTCATGTAGGGGACGTGAAATTCAGGAATTTCGGGTTTGTCGGGATACCTAATTTCAACAAAACGGATGTTACAGTACGATTTATTGATCTGCACAAGTGGAAATGAATACGGAAATATGCTGAGCGGGTTACAAGGTATTTTAGTTTAAAACAGAATGAACACACGCGTTTAGGAACAAATGTCATCGACATCATATGATTGAAATATGGGTCAGCATAACAATTTTACAACAACATGCAAGTATTTGACTCGAAATTGCAAAAATCTGTGAAAATTGATGGATTGAAAATTACTGAAAGTTTTATAATTTAAATGTTGGTATTTTCTTCACATAACTGATCATAGGTATGATCTTTAAAACATTTTGTGAGACCATGGACGATGCATTAAATACAGTATACAAATAGAATTATTACCCATTCATGAATAAAATCTTAAATTTCTAACTCGCATAAAAATATTTCAAACTCTTTAATCCTTTAAATTAAAACGCAACTTTCTCAATAATCGTTGCTCTATCGATTATCTTTGAATATAACATCCACTATGTTTGTATTTGGGATAGAGGGATCAAATTTAATGAATACTAAGCCGACTTATCCAGTTGGTATTAATTAAAAGCTTCCTTTCTATTCCAAATACAACTATAGTTAAAACAAACAACCTACTAGAAAAACAGGGCTCTACAGCGTTAAAATTGTAGAAAATAAGAACCTCCAGAAAATGTAAGAAACAAGACAACTATAACATCCCAATATATTCAAGTACTATACTGGCGAGTACTGCACGTACTGGTATTTTCCATTTCTTTCATATAACTGCTCTTTAATTTGCTTCTCTCCTCACATTTATCTCGTGATAATACACTTCATATCTCCTGTTCTACTAACTCTATCTCATATCTCCTGATCTCTCTGTTCTACTAACTCTATATCATATCTCCTGATCTCTCTGTTCTACTAACTCTATCTCATCTACTGCATTGAGGTTCTGCGGAGGAAGGTTGACTGTCTCGTCTGAGTTTACAGATCTGTGTGACTGACACGATGTGGAGACGTTAGCAAAGTCCACGTGTCGTGATCTGTGTTCCTCTTTCTCCCAGCTCATCACTATGAAGGGGCGCTGAACGTAGAAATAGGTTACCTGGATACCACCCCTGGGTTTTACCTGGGTAACTTTAACTTTGTCTTTATGGGTGGGGAACCCTTCTATTCCCAGTCTGATCTTCTTCAGCCCCTTCTCCTGGAGCACTGTCTTAGCAACCTCCCTGTTCTCTATATACTTGAGAAAGCGACTAATCTCGTTATTCTTCACTACAGAGAGTCTGTCTTCCCCCACAGCAGGGGGGTACTCGGGGTCCCAGTCTACGATATCATCATCTTTTAAACACACTATGTGACACTCCCTCTCCCCCTTCATTGCTGCCTCTGCCATGCCGGGCACTATATCAGTCTGGAGGAAACTCTCGAACTTTCTCCGAGAACCATCGTTAGAGAGCTCGTTCATGAAAGCACTGAGGTTCTCTGATACGACAGTAGTGGTGTTGAAGGGGATGAGGAAGAAATCACACGCTTCCTTGATCTCGTACATATTCAGATCATAAGGAACTTTAATCTCTCCGTTCACGTAATACCCTAATATAGCTCTGAATATCTCCGGAGAAACACTGTCTATCTTGAATTCTCCATCTCCGTTCTCCTTGGTAAACCGCTCCATGTTCTCCCCGAACATTCCTCCCAACATAGTCTCCGGATGTGAGAGAAGAGTCTTGCGCTTCAACAGAAACCTCACCCCATCTACCAGCAGTAACACAGTGTCCTTTTGAGATTTGAGGCGGGTAAACGCGTCGTCATCCTCCAGTGGTCCTTCCTTTCCCGTGATGAGGTTCACGAGGGATGTAGAGCGCAGCATGTCAGATGAGCTGCCAGCAGAGGAGTTACGCGAAAGATTGCTCAACTCCTCAGAACTTTTGCGCCGTAACATTGAGTGGGACAACTATCTTATAAGATGAGGTAACATCCAACACCTATAGAGGGGTTGCAAGTTAGTTCTGATCATACCAGCTGTTACTAGAATAAAGGAATTGATCAGAAAATCCTTGCAAGTTTTCTGAAGACTAATTTAAATATTTCTTTTAGAACTGTGGATAAATTTCAAAATTTGATAGAGCTAAAATCATATCCTCCAATAACAATAATAAGAGTTTAGAGTGCATAAAATCTTCAAATACCATATCATATTTATAATTTAAATATAATATTACCAATTCAAATAAATACAAACAAACTGTTATCATATGAACATAATCTTAATAAAATTGGCAATATTCTGATAAAAACAATATTGAAAACCATAGAAATTCAGTGTCACTTGCGGAAACTTTTTATTTAAAAACATATAAAGACCTACAAAAAAACAGCCAGCTGTCATAGAAAGTAACATGGAAAACTCTCGGTCCAAATAGTAACTGTTCAAACGCCCCCTCATTATTTAAACTTGTGATTTTCTCTCAGTTGGATGTGATATGACTGAGTGAGGTTGCTCGAAACACTACCGTACGAGGTATTGTTACCATCTAAGTAACACCACAGTTATCATAGTAACACACTAACACCACCATATTATAACCATAGTAACCGTAGTAACACCACCATATAAGGTGAGATATGACTGCGTGAGAGTGAAAGAGGTTCAAAACACAGTTGGCGTCATGGCTGCTAACAGTTTGTGCTCTTTTATCTCCTCCGCTTCTATCTCCTCATCATCTGATCTGTCTTCATTTCCTGGAGACATATATATTATATAACAATAACATCAGGAGACAGGTTCAGTTAGGGGACATCCTTTTATTACAATAACTTTAGGAGACAGCCTCTTATTACAATAACTTTAGGAGACAGCCTCTTATTACAATAACTTTAGGAGACAGCCTTTTATTACAATAACTTTAGGAGACAGCCTCTTATTACAATTACTTTAAGAGACAGCCTCTTATTACAATAACTTAAGGAGACAGCCTCTTATTACAATAACTTAAGGAGATAGCCTCTTATTACAATAACTTTAAGAGACAGCCTCTTATAACAGTAACTGTAGGAGACAGCCTCCTATTACAATAACTTAAGGAGACAGCCTCTCATTACAATAACTTAAGGAGACAGCCTCTTATAACTTTATAACAATAACTTTAGGAGACAGCCTCTTATTACAATAACTTTAGGAGACAGCCTCTTATAACTTTATAACAATAACTTTAGGAGACAGCCTTTTATTACAATAACTTTAGGAGACAGCCTCTCATTACAATAACTTTAAGAGACAGCCTCTCATTACAATAACTTAAGGAGACAGCCTCTTATTACAATAACTTTAGGAGACAGCCTCTTATTACAATAACTTTAAGAGACAGCCTCTTATTACAATAACTTAAGGAGACAGCCTCTTATTACAATAACTTAAGGAGACAGCCTCTTATTACAATAACTTTAGGAGACAGCCTCTTATAACTTTATAACAATAACTTTAGGAGACAGCCTCTTATTACAATAACTTTAGGAGACAGCCTCTTATAACTTTATAACAATAACTTTAGGAGACAGCCTTTTATTACAATAACTTTAGGAGACAGCCTCTTATTACAATAACTTAAGGAGACAGCCTCTTATTACAATAACTTAAGGAGATAGCCTCTTATTACAATAACTTTAAGAGACAGCCTCTTATAACAGTAACTGTAGGAGACAGCCTCCTATTACAATAACTTAAGGAGACAGCCTCTCATTACAATAACTTTAAGAGACAGCCTCTCATTACAATAACTTAAGGAGACAGCCTCTTATTACAATAACTTTAGGAGACAGCCTCTTATAACTTTATAACAATAACTTTAGGAGACAGCCTCTTATAACAGTAACTGTAGGAGACAGCCTTTTATAACAGTAACTTTAGGAGACAGCCTAATCAATTTCTGGACCATTTCAACAACTAGAACTAAAAACACAGACTAACCTGCGAGGGCAGTGAGACTCATCTCTAACAACTGAATAGTAAAGGGATCTTGTCGCTCCTTATCTAGTGCCTTGTGACAATACTCCACAGCTAACAGCGCATTTCCTTGTAGTGCGTACACAAATGCTGGGAAAGTTAGTTTTACAAGTTGGTTAGTTAGTTAAACAGATTAGTTGGAGAAGAATTAGAAAGTACTGCAAAACAGCAGTAAAAAGGGAGTAAAAACTAAGATTAGAACGAACAAAATTTGAAGAACAGGTAGTTTACAGCTTTTTAAACCGATTTTTCAGTATTTCTTTATTATTTGAACAAAATCGTCAACTTGAAGCTCGTCATTCATTCCAAGAAAACAATATCACTCTTTATATATAATATTGCGGAACTAGTTCATTTTGATAACACTAACGAACTGCTTACCTAGACCAGTGTATACAGTAGAACTGTCACAAGCGAGGAACTGTGCATGCTTGAAGCACTTGATAGCCTGAACGTACTGTTTGTGTATCCTGTACACCTGACCCAGGTTTATATACAGAGGGGACCAGGTGGCAGCCGCCCACTCGTGCTCTCCGTCCTTCACTTTAGATAACGCCTGGTCATTAAGTTAATTTTAATTTCCGTGCAGAGTTAGTTAGGGGTAACTTTGCCCTAAAATATCTGCAAGTATGATAGAGTACTACACCCCCCCCCCCCACCCCCCTCGGCCCTCACTGTAGTACCTGCTGTAAGTATGAGAGAGCGTATTCGTATTTTCCGATCTGAGTATACAGAGCTCCCATCTCAGAAAGTACAAAAGGATCTTGCGGAGCTAACTCCTTCGCTTCTTTGAAGAACTTCTCCGCTAGTAGAGGGTTGTTGGTGCTACCGTACTGCAACCCTGTAGGTTTTATACATTTAATAAACTGGTAGAGGGTTGTTGGTGCTACCGTACTGCAATCCTGTAGGTTTTATACATTTAATAAACTGGTAGAGGGTTGTTGGTGCTACCGTACTGCAACCCTGTAGGTTTTATACATTTAATAAACTGGTAGAGGGTTGTTGGTGCTACCGTACTGCAACCCTGTAGGTTTTATACATTTAATAAACTGGTAGAGGGTTGTTGGTGCTACCGTACTGCAACCCTGTAGGTTTTATACATTTAATAAACTGGTAGAGGGTTGTTGGTGCTACCGTACTGCAATCCTGTAGGTTTTATACATTTAATAAACTGGTAGAGGGTTGTTGGTGCCACCGTACTGCAACCCTGTAGGTTTTATACATTTAATAAACTGGTAGAGGGTTGTTGGTGCTACCGTACTGCAACCCTGTAGGTTTTATACATTTAATAAACTGGTAGAGGGTTGTTGGTGCTACCGTACTGCAATCCTGTAGGTTTTATACATTTAATAAACTGGTAGAGGGCTGTTGGTGCTACCGTACTGCAATCCTGTAGGTTTTATACATTTAATAAACTGGTAGAGGGTTGTTGGTGCTACCGTACTGCAATCCTGTAGGTTTTATACATTTAATAAACTGGTAGAGGGTTGTTGGTGCTACCGTACTGTAATCCTGTAGGTTTTATACATTTAATAAACTGGTAGAGGGTTGTTGGTGCTACCGTACTGCAACCCTGTAGGTTTTATACATTTAATAAACTGGTAGAGGGTTGTTGGTGCTACCGTACTGCAACCCTGTAGGTTTTATACATTTAATAAACTGGTAGAGGGTTGTTGGTGCTACCGTACTGCACTCCTGTAGGTTTTATACATTTAATAAACTGGTAGAGGGTTGTTGGTGCTACCGTACTGCAATCCTGTAGGTTTTATACATTAAATAAACTGGTAGAGGGTTGTTGGTGCTACCGTACTGTAATCCTGTAGGTTTTATACATTTAATAAACTGGTAGAGGGTTGTTGGTGCTACCGTACTGCAACCCTGTAGGTTTAGTACATTTACTAAACTAGTAGAGGGTTTATAACGTATTAATTAAGCTCAAAACATCAATAGCATTATCTATGCTTCCAAACAGTGTGGCGTGAAGCTATTAAACAAGCCCACCAACCAATGTAAAGTAGAGGAAGATGACACCCCTTTAGTAGGCGACTAGCAGTGAAGTATGTAGCAAGAGCCTGGTCATTTTCACCCTCCGCTGCAAAAGCGTGCCCGTAAGCAAGCCATCCAGCTGCGAACAACTTGTCTGAAATATACAGTTAAAAGGGTGACCAATAGTGACGTGTTGTCATCGTTCCAAGGTAATATGTTATTAACAGTAATTCGGGCGAATCAAAACAAGTTCTCAAAACAGGAATTAGATATTCAAAAACTTCAATGAAATACAATTTGAATCGACTGGTACAGTAGGCGCTTTAAAAGAGAGAGCTTAATACAATATTGGATAAATTTAGTGAAACTCACTCAAGCTGGTAGATTTAGATAAACACTGCCTAGCTGACTCCCACTTCTTTATTAATGAGTAGTAAATACCAACTGCGTACCACGATATATAGGCTTTCGGGTACAAATCTACTAACTGAGAAAATGGGTGATACTTAAGTGGTAACTGAGGAAATAGTTATCTTAATTTAATTATATATTGGAGAATCAAGAAAATACTCAGTAAATATCAGAGCGTGGGATGTCTTTAATGACTGGACTAATTAGAAACATCTTTAGTCTTTACGTAAAGCAAAGCCAAGAAGCTAAACATTTACTCTCAGAAGTCAGAAGTAGACTACTCAGTAAATATCAGAGCGTGGGTTTGAGATAAGGTTTACCTTATGGCCGAGGATAAAGAGATCGTTCTTCTTTCCCAGCTCATATAAACAGCCAATGTGTACTAGTAATGTGGGGAAATGGTAGGGGTCTATCTTCAGTGCCCTGCAATAACAATACACTTAGAGAGAGGGAGAGAGAGAGAGAGATAGAGAGAGAGAGAGAGAGAGAGAGAGAGAGAGATAGAGAGAGAGAGAGAGAGAGAGAGAGAGAGAGAGAGAGAGAGAGAGAGAGAGAGAGAGAGAGAGAGAGTGTGAGAGAATAATACATTTATACATTATACATTTATACATTATACATTTATACATTTATACAATAACAATACATTTATCAAAATATATAAGATTAAGAAATGATATGAGTCAAGAGGACGAATGTTTTAAACTTTCTCCAAAATGTATAAATTTTTGTTCTGCACCACCACAGCTACAATCTTTCAGCATAAATTTCAAGTTTTGTTTAAAATTTGTTCCTCCCTTGTACCTACACAAGCGATTTATTGCTATATTTGCCCTGAAATTGTTGCTAGGTTAGTTGTTAGTTTGTTAGTGTTATTGTTGCTAGGTTGTTAGTTTGTTAGTGTTATTGTTGCTAGGTTGTTAGTTTGTTAGTGTTATTGTTGTTAGGTTGTTAGTTTGTTAGTGTTATTGTTGCTGGGTTGTTAGTTTGTTAGTGTTATTGTTGCTAGGTTGTTAGTTTGTTAGTGTTATTGTTGCTAGGTTGTTAGTTTGTTAGTGTTATTGTTGTTAGGTTGTTAGTTTGTTAGTGTTATTGTTGCTGGGTTGTTAGTTTGTTAGTGTTATTGTTGCTAGGTTGTTAGTTTGTTAGTGTTATTGTTGCTAGGTTGTTAGTTTGTTAGTGTTATTGTTGCTGGGTTGTTAGTTTGTTAGTGTTATTGTTGCTAGGTTGTTAGTTTGTTAGTGTTATTGTTGCTAGGTTGTTAGTTTGTTAGTGTTATTGTTGCTAGGTTGTTAGTTTGTTAGTGTTATTGTTGCTAGGTTGTTAGTTTGTTAGTGTTACCTGAGACAAGTCTCGTAGGATGAGTTGAAGCGACAATTGTAGTAGAGTCTCTCAGATTGGGAGGTGAGCACAGTGACGTTGTTACTAAAACAGGTCAGTGTATTGGGCACTACCTGGTATCAAGACAGTTAAGTGAGATAAGGATTGATAAAGAATACATGTTACTCATTGTCACGTGATAAAAGAGGCATTTCACGTCTGATTTTCGTGATCCTTCATCATCAAGATAAGAAATAGTTTTCATGCAACATCGCTATTTGACATCATAATTTCACCTGTTTTTGTTGGTTGTGGTACTTTTTAGACATTCCTGAGTACAAAAACCGGATCAAGTCAGCTTCTTCTGTAGTCAGATCATCTGGGAAGATCACATATTGTCACAGAGAACCTCCTGGTACATACCACAGAAAGTGTGACTTTTTTTTCACACTTTATGCGGTACACCCTGTACATGTAAACATTATTATGAAATAGCATGAGATTGATTGATGAAGGGATAATATATTATACAGTATTTAATATGACTGTAAGCTCTCAATAAACCTGAGTTGTCTATAGTATCTGATATTATCTCCTCCTCACATTTCCCGGTGTAGTAATGATTATAGACCAGGTTTTCGTATGCTTCCACACAATACGGGTCCTCCTGTACAATAATAATAATACTTCTAGAGTTTACAGACAACAATAATTAACTTATACTTAAATACCAATACTGGGACACTGTGACACACAAAGTGCTATGCCATCTGAACTGATTAAGAACAAGGAAGGACACAATAAATAGTGGAAGATTATGTAATGGCGTTGAACTTGAATATAATTCAAGTAGTCGTATAATAAACCAGTGTCCAGGTAAACCAGGTAAGATAAGGTTCTACCTTGAGAGCGAGTTTGAAGCACTGAGCAGCAAACTGGTGGTTATCTAAAGCTTGAAACACAGTCCCCTTTAGTAGATACACACTCGCCATCAACTCCTGCTCCGTCATTACTCCTGGTTGGGAATGGTAATCCATTAGTAATCCTTATAAACTAGTGGCATGGTGAATATCTGTTGTAATCCATTAGTAATCCTTATAAACTAGTGGCATGGTGAATATCTGTTGCAGCTCCAACACTTCGGTATTTCCCCCCATCTCAGGATAAGAAAATGACACGCTAGCTTGTACAAAACAGTGTTCGGAATTGTAAACCGTACAGACCTACAGTATATAAGGGAGGGGGAGCAAGAGGAGAGGGCTCAGGTAGAACCTCCAACGTGTCCTTAGCTTCGTTCCAGTCCCCTCTAGCAGCCTGGCACTGAAAACAGGGGCTGTGAAACACTACAAGTAACGTTAGTGAGACACTTCGGAGTTTATAAGTGTAGCTTGTGTTGCAAATATCGAGCTCTCTTATCTTTTGTAAATTTGCAATAAGTTCAGTTTGCTGCTACCGCGTAGTTTACCTTTGCGTGTGTACTTGTACATTACTATACAAGTACACTATGGGGGATGACCCAACTTTGACCCGATCCCAGGAGTTGATTAAGGAGTTCAACTATGATCAACAGGAAGATGTGGAAGGCTGTGTTGCACGCTGGTCCATTCAGTTAGAAAAAGACCTGCATATGGACTACCGTGACATTGACTACGAAAGTCGTGAAAAGATCAAGACTAAGGATAAACAGACTCTGTCTGGCTGGATTGTGGATGCAGTGGACCTTGTTCGTAGGCAGAGTAGTCAGATGTATCTCTTGAAGGAGATCATCGAGTGCTTCAAGACGGAAGCACTAGCAGACAAAGAAAAGGTGATCAGACTGCAGGGCCAGCTGCTGATGCAGAAGGACGAACAACTACAGTTGCTTAAGACGTCTGTTGAGGAGACAGTCCAAACAACGGTGGAGTCAGGGATTCAGAACTATAGTGCAGCTGTTCAACAGAACAGTGTAAGTGGTACGGTCTGCAACAGTAAAATCCTGAAGAAGGTGATGAAGAGTGTGGCTGCAGAAGAGGACAGGAGCAAGAAACTGATCGTGTTTGGGCTGAAAGAAGAGGAGGAAGAACAGCTTCCAGCGCTAGTTACCGCAGTTTTGGAGGAGATCGGGGAGAAACCTCACTTCGAAGCGACTAGAGTCGGTTGGAAGAGGCCAGGTAGTACGGCTATCCGACCAGTCAAGATCACCGTCCCAAGCTCAACAGCGGTTCATCAGATTCTGATGAAAACAGGGAGACTGAGGGAGACGCACAAAGATGTATGGATATGTCCAGACAGATCCAGCGAAGAACGAGCAACAAGGAAGCATCTGGTCACTGACCTGAAGAAGAAGAGGGCGGAACAGACTCATCTCGACCACTACATCCGGTACGGGAAGGTATGTAGCCGTGATAAGAAGTCATCATGAGTTACACTCTCGGACACTGATCAGTATATGAAGGAGTGATGATTATTTTAAGAATTTTCAGACGTTATCTGTATTTAAGAGACAACTATATATTTTGAATATTTTATTATTTGATTGTTTCACACTTTTCATATTTCATAATTTTATTACTAGGTGGAGGTGATGTTATTGAGACTTTGGGCGGCCATAAAACTCCTGTTTTGAAAGTTGTCCTCTGTACTTGTTTCACTGACCCACGCTTTATAGCATTTATACATTTCGGCCCATTTTATATGTTTGTTCGACTTGCTGTACATTTGTATATTTGCTATTTTGTAAAAGTTTCAAATCAAAATCATAAGGTACTACATAATACATGTCAGTACTGCATAATACATGTCAGTCCTATGATATGTCATGCTGGTACAAGCGAAGCAATGTTCAAACCTTGGCTATGAGGTAAGCTCCGTAGAAAGTGATATGAAGTCTGTTGGTTTGAATAAAGTACCTTGGCTATGAGGTAAGCTCCGTAGAAAGTGATACGAAGTCTGTTTGTTTGAGTAAAGTACCTTGGCTATGAGGTAAGCTCCGTAGAAAGTGATATGAAGTCTGTTGGTTTGAATAAAGTACCTTGGCTATGAGGTAAGCTCCGTAGAAAGTGACATGAAGTCTGTTGGTTTGAATAAAGTACTCAGCTCTGTGGTACTCCCCTCGCAGGTATAATAAGTTCACAAACGTGAAGATGTCTTTAGGGTCTCCTGCAACAATCAATAAGTTAGTGAAGCCAGCTCTTCAGATACGATACACTACCACTCAAGAGAATAAAACAAGCAAACATTCGAATAGAGGAGATAGACATGGAGAAATAATGTGATAGAAATCATATCCTATCAATATCAAGAAGAAAACTTCATAAAGTAACTTAAGACGCAAGCTTGCTTTTTATTTTAAATGAGCACCTAGCTAAGACTAGATGGCTAAATGTTACGAACCTCCCCCTAGAGAGATGGCTTTGTCAGCCCAGAAGAGAGCATTCCCGTACTGGTGCTTTTGAGTTTCCTTCCCCACTTTAGACCTAATAGCTTCCAACATCTCATGTGTCATTCTCAGTGCTAATGCCTAATACTGGTAACGATATTAAAATTCCATGATATCATCAAACAGCAAAATATAAACGTCCATAACTGACTAAGGGAAACCGAAGGGGAGCCGGGAGAGCCAAGGATACAAACAAAACATATAATTACCTTGATTTTTTATAGCCGGCGATGGCGGTTCTGTTACTTGACGAAAGATATGACTACAACGGTAATTTCATTTTTGGAAACATTTGAGAACCAAAATAGGAAACTCTTATTCTCAAAAAGATCACTAAGCTCTATGACTACTGGCAGAGTAGCATGTAAATTAGTTTAAAAGTGGTGACAATTTGGTTCTCATATATTAGACTTAATATCTGAGTTAAACGCTATATTTAATATTACAGTGGGAGACATTATTTATCAACTCGGCAGCCAGCAGGATTACTTTTCCATCATCACAATTGTGTTACCTACTAGACCCCTTTGAGTTGTAATAATGAACCTTAAAATATTATATGAAAAACAATTTTTTTTTAAAGGTAGAAAATGTAGAAAATTATTACATCAAAACTTAACCTTTTATTAATTCATATCGTAAATTATTAGTATTAACATAACTGGTAATTTTTATGATTATGATATAAGAAGTTCATGAATAAAAGTTCATCTAAATGTCGTGAATCATAGTCTGTACATAACTTTAAATTTGACGCCTCCCTTGAAATGAAACGTATTCTCCCATAAGTCTCTCGTCGAAGCCGATTCTTGAAAACATAAGAAGTTTAACCATGATAAAGAAAAAATTACTTTGTAGCAATTTACTACAAACACATGCATATCTTCTGCTCTGACCTCACTGTGATAGTGTACTGGCTCGTTTAAGTACTCTTCCTTTTCAGTACACAGTTTCAAAGTCCAAAGCGATCCTTCAGAAGGGACTGTTTTTAGAATAAAGCCACAACAACCAGGCAAATTGCATGGGGTGACTGAAGGATGTTTGAAACGGAAGACTATTTTCGAATCTTTTGACAGAAAAGACAACGGTTCGTGATCGCAAGTACCAATAGCGTCAATAACAGTTAATGTAACTTTCATGTCTTTATAATTGTTTTGTGTGCAAAATGATGAAAAACCAAGTCTCGGAACTCCATTCTGAAAATCGGTGAAGTCAGAGGGCAAATGTAACCAGCCTCGCTGTTCAACGATTCCACTAAATCTTTTAGGCAACTCTTGCCCATCACTCAGAGTGATGGTCATTCTAGGTGTTTTGATATAACGTCTGTTAAAGTTCCATATCTGAACAGCTTCTATCGCCATCAACAAACTTGTAACCTTTTCGGAAACAGATATCCAATCTAGAAGTTGATTAAATGTCATTATATCAAAATTAAAATCATGGTACAGGTTTGGTATCTTGTTACAACTGGACATTGTCAAACTGAATCCACTTGCTTCGGCAACGTCATTGTCTCTCTTTATCATCGACTTACGATGGAGTTCGAACGTCCACCTTATCTTTTCATCGGGAAGCCCCCCAAGCACATCAAATAAGCGATTGAACAAGACTCGATCAGACTTTTTACAAAAGTATAAGCAACAGTTATCCAGCAGATATTCACTAGAGACAGGAAGACTTGGCTGAACTTTCAACATTTCTGCCAGTTGATTAGTTAAAGTTTTTACAATACAGTTAACTTCAGAACCAGCTAGCTCTATCACCATGTCTAGTTTCTGAGTAGATAATCTGTCAGCATTCTCCAGATACCTGTCTATAAATTCCTGCTTCCATCTCAACATTGCTATCTTCTCAAAGGTGATGTTCAGATAATCTTTTGTCTTAAGGTTCTCAAACAAAAAACATGCTTCTTCAAAGAGATAAAGTAGTTCTGTATATGACGGTGTTTTGACTGAATCGGCAACTTCATTAAAATACTCAGCACACTTTTCAGCTAACCAAGACACCTCAAACACATTTGCCATCTTGTTGATGTCTCTGAATTGTTCCCTGGTTATCCCCTCTGCAGTTCCAGAGTAAGCTGCATCAACAAGCAGCTGAACAGCAGCTTTACTGAACTCCAGCATGTCCACACTGGTCATGTGGAGGGTAGTTGTCATGTGATCTAATACTGGACTGTTGAACGAGAGGATCACTGAACTGGCACACACCTCACCTCCCTCACTTGTGTTTAGTTTAAGGTTGCTGTGAGTCGGGGATCCTATCAGGTGCCTTCCAAAATCCATCGGGACACTCACTTTGGGTGCCATTGCAATGATATTTCCTGACAAATGATTTTATGATTTAGGTATATTATAATATAGAATACATTTCACTGAATTGAGTGTTTTTTGTTTCGACAATTTGATGAACTTAGGGCAAGTGCGAATAAAAACATAACACTAAACTTAGATTTGTTGCTACACTTTGTAAAATTTTGTTGAATGAATTTCATATAATAAGCTGCTATTTATTTAAATCTTTACATTGAACTTTTTCAAAAGTTGACTTTTGATTAATTAATTATTATATATTTTAATTTCTACAAAACGTGATGAATAACAAAAGAAAGTATAGATTTTCAGATGAAATAAATAAATCGTGATTTAAATTGGTTGTTACAATGTTACAGTAGGTAGATATGTAATTGAATTCCATAAATTTCACAACACAAGTAAAGCAAGGCCAGAAAAAGCAAATTGTTTAAAAACTGCTGCTCGAAATTTAAAATTTCATCTGAACTGATTAAAAACAAGAAAGGACATGGGGTAATAGATATTAGAAGGTATAAAACTGATGGAAATTATGAATCAGACTGAAAGTGGTCAGCACTATTTGTCACAACTTCATTTAGTCAAAAAATAAAACACTGAAATTTCAGCAGACTATTATACCACAATAGCTGTAGCAAGTCTAAGTCCCACAGCTTCAAAGCCAGCATAACAACTTAAAATATCTTCTGATCAACCAGACCAACAATTGATCAAATTATTTATTATCTATCCAGATCTATATTAGGGTCAAACTCTGTACAGTACTTTAAACTTACTGCCATCATAAATTCCGTATTTGCTTTCCCATGTGTCCCTTTCAGTAACATCATTTCCAACGTGAAGCCAGTGAAGCCATGATAGAGGAATCAGTAACGATTTACTGAAACCACTAAAAACTTGGAAAAAGTAAATATGCATTTGTTCTGCTCGAATCTCATCATGAAAGTGCACTGTTTCACCCAGGTAATCTTCTTTATCAGTACACAGTCTCAAGGTCCACAATGTAGCTTCACTGGGGACTGTTTTTAGAATAAACCCGCAGTCACCAGGAAGAGTACAAGTAGTGACTGATGGGTGTTTAAAGTGGAAATTCAGTTTAGCTTCTTTAGACAGAAGAGTAAGTGGTTTATTGCACTTTTCTATACAGTTAATGACAACATAGGGACTATTCTCGTTAGAAGTTGAACAAAATGGAGACAAATTTAATTCTACTATTGATACTTTCTGACCAGTAAATTCTGATGGTAAAAGTGACCAGCCACGTTGTTGAACCATTTCGGTTAGCTTAGAAGAGAACACTGATCTTTTCGCATTCGTCAAGTATTCACTCTTATGGACAGCCCATGTCCCCAAAGCGTCGATAGCCATCATTAAACTTGTGACATCTTCTGAAACAGAAAGCCAGTGCATAAATTGATCAAATGTTACTGTATTAAGGTTGATTTGATGGTACATGTTCGGGGGAGAATTACATCTAGGTAAAGTTGGCGAACTCAAGTTGCTAGTAGATTTCAACACGAGCTCAAAAGCCCATCTAATTTTTTCATTGGGCAGCACCTGCAGTGAGCTAAATAGCCGATTGAATAAGGCTGAGTTGGACGCCAAACAGAGGGAGAGGTCTAAGTTATTCAGCAGATATTCACTAGAGGCAGGAAGACTTGGCCCCTGGACTTTCAACAGTACTGACAGCTGATTAGTTAGAGTTTGTACAACACAGTTAACTTCAGAACCAGCTAGCTCTATCACCATGTCTAGTTTCTGAGTAGATAATCTGTCAGCATTCTCCAGGTACTTTTCTATAAACTCCTGCTTCAAGTTCATCATTACTATCTTCTCAAAGGTGATGTTCAGATAATCTTTTGTCTTGAAGTTTTCATACACAAAACCTGCTTCTTCAAAGAGATAAAGTAGTTCTGTATAAGACGGTGTTTTGACTGAGTCGGCAACTTCATTAAAATACTCGGCACACTTTTCAGCTAACCAAGACACCTCAAACACATTTGCCATCTTGTTGATGTCCCTGAATATATCCCGAGTAATCCCCTCTGCAGTTCCAGAGTAAGCAGCATCAACTAGCAGCTGAACAGCAGGTTTACTGAACTCCAACATGTCCACACTGGTCATGTGAAGGGTGGTGGTCATGTGATCTATTACTGGACTGTTTAAGGATAATAATAATAATAATAAGGCCCCCGCTCAGAACACCAGAGCTAGTGAGTAGTGGGTCCGAGGCTGATACTTGTGGTCAGCACACCCGGGGTCGGTAACGGCAGCAGTCCATTGGATGGCTGCTGGCAAGAGCTACTCACTCCCTGGCATTGCCAAATGCCTTCTCCCTGAGGTCCAGTTATAGTACAAAGTTTAAACTTTTAACACTGTTAGTTCCCCCGTTACTAGTCCAAGTAACGGGCTAGAACTTGACCAAACAGCTGGTGAAACACCTGTAGACCACCGGAACCTCAGGCTCTATTGTCCTTCTCAACATCATTTAATGTTATCGTGAGATTTTGTAATTGCTTAAAATTCATGTTTAGGAAGGAAAAAAAAAGAAAGAAAATTACAAAAAAAAGCTTTAAAAGAAAAGAAAAAAAAAAAAAAAAGCACAAAATGGAAAAACCAAGAAAAGTATCTGTGACTGAAACAGCAGTATTTTAAGATTTATCCCTTATTATATATTTATTCGTTATCATAGCATCATAGACTGCCGGTGCAAAGATTCTCCATCCTTAGTAAATAATTACTATTTATAGTGTTACCACTTACCATACCCATTGTA